TGGGGCAGCCCTACAGCTGTCAGGCCCTAGACGCGCGCCCGCAGCCCGGTACCTAGTAGGCGCAGAACAGCTAGACTTGAAGTTCACCTCGGCACAAGTAGTCTGCGACTTGTGCGCCCGCTGGACGGCTGCCGTTGATCACAGACGCTACTCTTGTATTTTTCAGATCACGGGGAATGGAGACCAACTGTCGCAAACTAGTGTCGGCGTGTGTGCAACTAGGTAAGAGCCTGTTTCTCCTACTCGGGTCACTGCATGGGAGACGGCGCCACGTGAGGGCCGCGAAAAGGCAAACGCTCCGGGGCGAGGCCCCAGCCATCGGCGCTTTTTCGAGAGGCCAGCTAGGCAGGAAGGACATTGCATCCTCTCCCCTTCTGGGGAGGTCGGGGAACAGTGGATCAGGAGGAGGCTGGGCACAAGAGTGCCTAAGGCCGAGACACACACTGCTGCAGCAGCGCTGGCAGCCAGTGAGGCGCGGAGAAAGTTCTCCACCCGGCGCTGGTTTGCAGATGATCCGGGGGATGGCATGCGTGGGCTCTTTCCTCTAATCGAGTCTTCGCTCTCTGTCCCTCTTTCTCGTACCCACCCGGGCCCTCGCCCCTGTCCTGGGCTCCTTTCGGCCCTTGGAGTTGGGCATCGCTTTGCGCCGCACGGGGGCGAGGGGCGCGCGCGCGCGCGCGGCCCAGGGCTGCAGCCAGCGGCGGTACCACGTTTCTTCTCCAAAGACTCCGAAATCAAAAAGATCGAGTCCACAGCTTCTCCGGGAAGCCGAAAAGAGGCCGCCCGCCGCAGGCTGTGCCCACGGCCGCCACCCGGCGCTCAGGGTAAGGCCGGGAGAGCAGCGCAGGCCGCGGCGCGCTGGCGCCCGCCTCCGGGACTCGGAGCCTAGGCTGAAACTCCGGCCGGCGGTGCCGCCAAAGCCCCAACTTTCTACGGCTTGAACTTAAGACTTTGGCCCCAGGGTAAAACGCGCAACAGCCGTCCCCGGGACGTTAATTCCTTTTCCCCGTTTCTAGTACACTCCTGAGACCCAACACCTCTCTGCTTCTGCTCTCTCTCACTCCCTGTGGTCTGATCTCTTCTGCAAGCCGCAGCCTACCTCGGCGCCTTGAGCTGGCGTGGAAAAGTGGTCCAACAGCGACCTCTGTCGCTAGCCAAGTCCCACTGCGCGCAATGCCGCCAGGGCCCACCGGGTGGGCCTCTGGGGCTCTGCCACCGCCCCACCTAGGCTGGTTGGGTGCGGAGCGAACGGCGCCAGGCGGGCACTAAACACGTGTTGGCGGCGAAGGTTCGTCCCGGCGGGTTGGGGTTCTGAACACTGCCCCTGCGGGGTCTGGGACAGAGACGGCGTGTGCAGTCGCCGAGGGTGGAGGAGAGTGTGAAGCTGGATGCATGCACCTGCTTTCTGTTGTGCTGATTGCCAGGCCTGGGCTTTTGGTGATGTCATGGCTTGATTGGCTGTGTGCATCTTAGACGAGTCTGTAGGCTGGTGTCGTCGTTAAATTCACGTCTCCCATCCACTGCGCCGGCCTCTGCGGAATGGAAACTTGTATTTGAGATTGGGAGGTGGATGGAGGGTTTGTTGGTGGTGGTGTTGTTCTGTGTGGTGTTTGCAAGCGGAGAAAAACTCCCAAATTTACCGTTTCCCATACGTTCTCCGACTTTTCCCTGCTCCGAAATAAATAAGTGTCTAGCCTTAGGAGATTGTTGACCTTTGATAGTGTGAGGAGATAAAGACTCCCTCCCCCCCTCCGCCCTCCGGCCCTAACCTCCTCCTTCCGGATTAAAGTGTAAGGACAGAACGTAATATGTGGAGAACTGGGAGATTTGGGACATTGGCCAAGTAAACAAACCAAATTACTCAGAAGAAAACAAAGACTCTCCATTTAGGCTTCTCCACGTATCTGAGAGATGGGGGGGCATGGTGGGGGGGGGTGGTTAGTGGATTATTTGTTAAAAATCAAATGTCTAAAGCGAGCCGGAGATTCGCAACCTGCCCCTTACACCATTATTGCTAGTGGTCCTTCTGGGCCAGTTAAACGCTCACTTGTCTGGGATTAACCCCATGGGGTTAAATGAGAGCAATGCAGAGATAATGTCGGGTGATTTCTGTCATTAAGATTGTGTTAAATTCTTCTTCTGTTTGATAATCGGTCGTAAAAATAAATTATTAGACCGGAGAATGTTTGAGATATGGTTAAATATCAAGAGCAGCGATGACTCCCGGGGAAAAATGCTTTGTGTAAGTTCAGGACCGGCTCTAGCCAGCCCAGAAGAGGTTCAGAGTGGTCCTTTCGCTCGGAGCGGGCGGGCCGGACAGGGCGGACGCGTGTCAGTGTGCACGGAGCGGGAGAGAATCCATCTGATTCCTCCTCCTCCTCCTCCTCTTCCTCCTTCTCCACCCCTTCCCACCCTCTCATCTACCCAAGTTTCCTTGACCCAAGGGATGGTTTCTGAAAAGCAGGAGTCCAAGAAAGGAGAGAAAGCCTCGGAGACTAAAATCGAGGCATGGGCGCCCGGGGGGAGGGGGTCCTCTTTGGGTAATTAGCAAGGAAAAAAAGGAAAAATAAATAAATAAAACTCGAAGTAATGAACGATTGGATTATTTTTATATGCGTAAAAGACTATTTCCTTACCTTGCCAATAGGTCTGTTTTCTACCTTTTGGATCGAAGAGAAACAATTACTGCCCAAACATGTTTCATGTCACTAATTAAGAAGAGGCATGCGGTGGGAAGAAATGGTGAAAATGTTGGTTTTATTGGCTTTTAGGGAACTGGCAGACCAAAAAAAAAAATAATAACAATAATTGTCGTACCCGAGTAAGTAAAAATAGAGCTTCACTAAAAGAAGGTGGTTAGAATAAATAACTCTGTAGCCATTCTAAGGTCATTTGATGAATACGTAGACTCTTGGCCAAGCCTGCTTTTTAAAACAAAAGCAATAATGCATTGCATTTTTTAGCATTTCTTTTACTTCAAAAAATGTGTATAATTTAATGTGCTTTTGTTTTAAGAGCTCTGATTTTGTATTGGTGGCCTGTCCTCTCTCTCCACAAGTCCTTTTTACAGGCTAGATAGGTGAGGCCGATCTATCTCCCTCTGAGAGGTCACAGCCCCGCACCCCTTTCCAGCTGTGGCCCCTTCCCCTCGATTATCATTGATAGGACCTCAAGACCAGTCGAAACTCACCAATTTTTAGGGAAAGTGTGGACGACTGACAAACCCTAAAGTAGATTGTTTGAGAGGGTTCAGAGGGATCGCTGGGCACCTGGAATGGGGTAAAAGGTGTCAAGGCAAGTTAAACAGTTATGTCCTCTCCTCCCATCCGCCCCCCACCCCAAAACAGGTGCAGACTCCCCACTGAATCTCAGAGCCGAGGTTGACTTTCTTCTTTCGGGTATCTCCCATGGAGCATTTTGAGGAACTCCTTAAATGGTCTCGCCTTCAGGAAAGAGCCAGACTGACCTTTTCCTATCAGTCGTAGGTACGGTCTCTAGAAACAAGGCTCCAATCCGGCGAGGCCCGAACACCTGGCTTTGCCTTGTCACGTAGGGCTGGTACTTCGCCCAGCCTCCCCCCAGCGGTGCCATTAATTTTTAAATAGCTTTACCAGGGGCTGTTGAACTGAACGTGGTCCGTGGGGACCCAAGTCTAACTGTGTCCAGATCCCTGTGGACATTCCTAATGGTGACCCAAGCCTTTCTCACAGGGCGCCGACAGTTCAGTCGCAACCTCCTTCCCAGCACGCGGGTTAACTCTGGCCTTCTCGTGGCCACTCGCTCACTCCTCTGCGATCGTGCATTCGTTCAGCCAATGTCTGCCAAGCTCATGTTAGTTAGACTCCTAGTGTACCCCGCACACACAAGCCAATAACCCAGTTTTCTGTCGCCTGTATGAGGTGACATTAATACTAACAAAGAAACCAGAGAGATGAGGTGATCTACAGCAAAATGCACAACACAAATCGTTGATGCGACCTATGGGCGACCAAAGTCCTTGAGAAAGAAAGTGGAAGAGGGCTCTCACGGTGTTTCCAAGGCCAGGGACAGGTGCTTGTCAAAGAAAGAGGCTTGAGGCTTCCAGAAAAAGAAGGGAGGGAAAAAAAAGCCAGAATACATCAGGAGAGCTGGCTAGTGAACAGAGGTTTCCATTTCTTTTCTCTAAGCCGATACCACCACCACCATCAAATCGGTGGCTTATTTGCAGAAGCTGCCTCTCTGCTTTGTGGTGGGTTTTGGTTTTGGGTTTTTGGTTTGCTTTTTTATTTTTCTTCTATCGGGGAGTGGGTATTGTGTCCATTCTCCAAAGGTAGACAGTCCCTGAGGATCCTGGGCAAAGCAATCTATTACAGGTCCGGTCCCTTCTCCAAGACTCTGCTCTCCAAGTTTCTCCAGGCTGCTTGGGCTTCCACTCCGCACGGCCCGCTGTTAATCTATGCAGCAGTTGTTAGAGGAACCCGGGGGGAAAAGGAAATGTATAACGAAAGCTTATTCGTGAGCAGGAATATACTAATGGAACAATCTGATGTCCTCTTAATCCTATGTAAAAAGCTTTGTCGTCTTCCTAATATTGACTGAATGGGTAATTAATGGCTCTTCATCTAGGCGAATACCCTGTAATCCAAGATAGGCAAAAGACAACAAGCCCAAGGTAAAAGACAAAAGGCCCAACTGCAAGCGCAGGTTCCTCCCCAGGGTATCCAATTGGGAAAGTTTCCTCTCAGAAAAGAAAAAGACATGAACAGGACAATACACCTACCGCATCAGGCCTAGACTTAACCACAACACCTGAGCACCCCGTTCAATTCTCCACTATTTAGTCTCTTCCCTTCCAGTCTTGCTTTTGGCATTTTTTTCTTCTACAGCCATTAGTATCTCCCCACCCTTAATTAAACCCCAACCTTTCATTTAGGGAAGTGATCAATACACACAAGGTCCCCAAAAGGTTAGTACTGCATCAAGCTCCTTTCTAATCTAGGAGATTTCTTTCTTCTTTCCTTCCATCCTTCCTTCCTCCCTTCTTCCTTCTCTATTCCTTTCTCTCTCTCCCCTTCCTTCCTTTCTTTTCTTTCTCTTCCTTCCTTCCTTCCTTTCTTTTTTCCTTCCTTCCTTCCTTCCTATCCTTCTTTCTTTCTTTCTTTCTTTCTTTCTTTCTTTCTTTCTTTCTTTCTTTCTTTCTTTCTTTCTTTCTTTCTTTCTTTCTATCTCTCTTCCTTGCCAGAGCTAGGGTTTCAGTGCTGTCCCTTAGCCTTTTCTGCTCACGGCTGGCATTCTACTTACTACTTAAACTATACCTACACTTTCAGATTTTTGGTGGTAGTTTTTGGTTTCCTGGCTAGGCTGGCTTCTAACTCGATCCTCAGATTTCAGCCTCCTGTGTAGCTAAGATGATAGGCTTGAGCCACAGGCACCCAACTTACAAACCTATTTCTTTTAAAGCTCAATGCATAAAGTCTGTGAAGTCTAAGTTGCAAAGAGAAGGAAGAAATGAATGGAGAGAGCATCTGCAAAGGTGTATATATGTGTTAGAGAACAACGGAGCGTAATTGAATCAACTTCTTTGTGTGGATTTGACATGAAGAGTGCCCAAGATTCTCCTAGCATGTTTCTAACAGGCTGACATTTTAATTTAAACCTTTAGAAGTAATTTATTACTTGGGTTACTACAATGAGGTGGGTTCCTTTTTTTGTTGTCAGCTGACAGCTTTTAAAATATTATTTCGCTAGGGAAATAAAAGCTTCATCTCAGATTATAGGTGGGTATTTTTGGATTTATGTGATTTATGGTCGCCATGACAACTAATGCTGAATGTTAGCTACCAGCATGTCTGGGAGAGAGAAAACAGAAAGAAGGTAGAGGGAGAGAAAGAAAGGGGAGATGAGCTGCAGAGAAGGAAAGAGAAAGAGAGAGGAGTTTCTATCTAATTGTCTTTTTTTTTTTAAGTGGCTTTTTCTTCCTCTTGCCACTTCCTTCCTCCCAAACCTGAATGTCTAGGTTTAACCTCACGGTCATTCATTCCCTTCCCTCCTCTTCTTTCCTCTTCTTTCTTTATTTCCCCCTCATTTCCTCCCCACTTCTCTCTCCCCCCTACACTTCTAACACACATTTATATAATATCATTCTCTCCCTCCTTTTTAAACTTAGTTCCTCCAAATCCTCACTTTCCAGACATTAACTAAACACCTAGTTGACCCATAATGCTCATATCCAAATGGGTGAAGAAAACACTGGCATGTGAGCTTAGACATTTAGGTACTCTGTCCTCAATTCCCCTCTCTTCTCTCAAAGTGAGGTGGAGTTTACCCCCATTAGCATCTTCTAGGCTGCCACCCTTACTTCAGCAGCTTTTTGGCGGCGTGAGTGTCATTTGGGTCTGCAGGGATGAAGAGGGAATGACTTCTGATTTGGGTCTGCAGGGATGAAGAGGGAATGACTTCTGATTCAAGAAAGAGTTGCTTAAGCAAGTCAGTGCCTATTCATTCCTTGTAGGGAATGGGGCAGGGGAGGTGGCGGGGAGGGAAATCGGTCACAACAAAGCTCTTGATTTTGGGGTCAGATTCACGGCAATGGGCAAAGGGGCACCTTTTCAGCTTACTTTGTGAAAAGCCTGGCTGTAGAAAGAGGAGAAAGAAAGGCCAATCTAAGGGCAAGGTGCAAGGTCTCCTTCTGACCTCTGGGCATTATACCACCCACCCTCACACGCACTCACCACCCATCACATGTCTGTGAGCTGAGTCGGGGCAGACCTCATCCTTGAGCTGGCCCTGGGCTGGGCAGCACTCCGGGGGAGGGGGGTCCCCCTTGGTGGCCTGACAGCTCTGAGAGACACAAGGACACAAGCCATCTTCTGGGTGAGCTGTGAGGACAAAAGGCTTCTAGAATTTTCAGGATCTCTTGTTTGGGTCCTAGCCCATGCATACTTTTTGTAGCTCCCAAAAGTGACCACCCAACCCAGCTGTGCCCAGAGATGACCAGAAGGAGTTTGCGGGGAGGGAAAAGGGATAGAAATGGAACACTAAATAGGGTGCAGTTGAATAAGACTTTAAGAATGGTAATTGGTGGCAAATAGGAGCTCAAAACATGCCTGACCCTGCAGGGCACATTTCTCTCCTGGAGGGTCCTTCTTTGAAAGAGTAAGCAAGAATAGCCAATTGAGATGACCGACCCCGGAATCTCCTAGACTCAAAAGCTCAAACTAGCCCTGGGTTTCCTGTTTCCCCTCCCACCCCCCACCCTGCCCAAGGGGAGACTTGTTTCTGAGAGCCAAGCTCATTCTTTTCTGGATTGAAACTTTCTGTGATGAAATCAGTCGTTTCCAATCAAGAATCCAATCGAGAATCCAATTTTCTGGCTTGCACCAATCCTGTAGTGTTGAACTTAGTAGTGCCTGCAACTTGAGTGTGCAATCCAGCTTCTTGCTGCTCTATGCCTGCCAGTGTCCAGTACAAGTCTTCTGCAGGTTAAATATTCGAATCTGTCCACCGCCAGTGCCACCTTGAAAGGATCATTGTAAAGGGAACATTTCTTAGTCTCCCACCACACCCTTCCTTTTTCCCCCATGTAGATTTCATGTTGGAGTCAGTCCTGTTGTTCTGGGGAAAAAGTGTCACTCAATTGTGGCTGTTCAGAGTGTATAAAGTGATTAGGAGATTAGGAGAGGGTTGAGACTCCAACTAGAAAAATGCAAAGAAAATCCTCACTTTAAGTCAATTATGTGGAAAGCTAGGACTCTGTGTGTGCGTGTGTGTGTGTGTGTGTGTGTGTGTGTGTTTATGGGTATGCAAAGATCGATAGATATTCTCTGTATATAGATACTATCTCAATATATTCTGTATATTCTATATCTATATATTTATAGAAATATATGATGAAGCCGGGCGCTGGTGGCTCATGCCTGTAATCCTAGCTACTCAGGAGGCTGAGATCTGAGGATCGCAGTTCAAAGCCAGCCAGGGCAGGGAAGTCTATGAGACTCTTATCTCCAATAAACCACTAGAAAAAAAAACTGGAAGTGACACTATGGCTCAAGCGGTAGAGCACTGGCCTTGAGCTGAAGAGCACAAGGACAGCGCCCAAGCCCAGAGTTCAAGCCCACAACCTACATAAAAAATAAATAAATATATGATAAATGTATATATATATATATTATATTTGAGAAATAAAGCTTTAAGGAGCATGGAAATATGGAGCTCACAGATACACTAAGATTTAAAAGATATATGCATATACATATATTTATATATATCACATATGGGTGATAAGTAAGTTTTGTTTTTGCTCTAACCAGTATTCTAGATTACTATCTTTATTGTCCTCTTGATTTCAGTAGACCCGGACAATTGAAGATTCTTGCTCTTTTTTAGGCTTCAGGGCTACCAGCAAATCCCCAAGCATTTCCAACATGTCTCATACTTTGGCACTATAAGGAGCTGTCACTTACACTTGGGGTTTTCATCCACTTTGGTGGCTGGCTGGCTGAGGTCTTTCCTGTGTGTGTAGGTTTGACAGGATGAAAGTTCCATAGGAAAAGCAGAACCATCCTAGCTTAACAACAACAAAAGCTACGTACATCATAAAAGACAGAGCTGAGAAATGTATATGGCTCTTCAGAGCATCTCAGGTTTTTTGGCGGGGGAAGAGGGGTGAGCATTTTGAAAAAATATCCACACTTCAAACATATCATTTCCTCCAAAACTAAAGTTTTGTGGGGGGGGGTGTTGTTTTTTGTTGGTTTTTTCTTTTTCTTGCAGTTCTGGGATTTGAATCCTGAAACAAGGGAGAGAAAATGCTGTCTATAATGGAATTTTTTTCATTGTTTGATATGATGAAGTCTATTCATGAAGTGAAGTTTTAAGGGGAATGGTATCATAGGAATCATACTGAGGTTTAGAAGAAGAATCTGGAATATGATTAGTAAACACACTGGGCCGAAAAGAGCTGGATTCTTATTGACTTAGTTATAGGTCATCGGCTGGTAGTGCAATGGGAGAAAATATTTACTTTACACATATACTTTATGATCTTGGGGGAATTAGAGGAAATTCAATAAGAAAATGGCTAGAAACATTTAAAACCCTTATTTAAAAGACTTAAGCAAATTAGAGTCTTATCAGATTAAAAACCACTACAAATGTAAGAACATTGTCTTCAGTGGAATGCTGTGGGGTCTGAGAAGGAGATCTTCTGCCAAATCTCAGGGATAAAACACGTCATTTAAGCACCAGATAATGAGCAGAATGTAAATTAATTTCACCTTCTTTACCAACAGGCTGCTGGTATAATATGTATAATTTAGTGATAAGATTGCAGAACCTAATATAGCTAGAGGTAGAAGCTTCAGTTGATGCAGGCCTGTCACGTGGGGTTGTGTTGTCCTCGGAGCAGGTGAGTGTGAGTGTGTGTGTGTGTGTGTGTGTGTGTGTGTGTGTGTGTGTGTGTGTTACATGCGCATGGACTGGGGAGAAGTGGAATAAAAGGTTAAAACCAGAAATGCTGATTGGAAGCTTACCATTGAAGCAAGATTCCCTAGTAGCTAACTGCTTCTTACAGTCAGATAATGGTGGTGGAAGACTTTGAAATGATCCTCGCTTGCTTCGACTTCTCCCAGGTGTATTTAAAATGGGGGAGGAATTTTTATAGATATGATTGGACGCAAAGCAAAGGGGAGAGAAATTTTCTAACCATATTTGCGGTCAGCTTCCTCTGCTCAGTGCTAGACTGAGTAAGTTTTTCAATATGGTGAATAAGGATTCGGAGAGAATTTGTGGCTGAAGATACCTTATGGTGGTGCTGCAAATCATTGACAGTAACGTCAAACAAGTCCACATTCAAAGATGATAACACTAACTCCACAATAAAACAATTGTCAATGCAGAAACCTAGGGGAGATTACTTTGTGTTCTTCAACTGACCTAAGCCAGAGGACAAAAGGACTTTTTTTTTTTGGTCCTGTTACTTTCTAGAGCACTCCTCCGCTACAGTCCCAGCCATGTAAGAAGACTTTGCAAATTTATTTTGCATATATTGCCCTTAGTTCTTTAATTTCCTTGAAATAGAAAATTTCCCTGGGAATAATACTGTAAATAGTTGATTTCCACTACTCCCCCAAGGTGATTTTGTGTTGTTTCATATAAATGAAAAGGGCTTTGTGTGTCCTAGTTGAACGTCGTATCTAAACTTAGCTCACACTCTATACCTCTGCCTGTCTGTACTTTAAATCATTCCAGACAGTCTTGAGTTCCCTAGGAAAAGAAAATGACTGTTAAAAAATTATCCTTGAAATTGGTTATTTGGCAACATCCTTAATTGTATGGAAATTCATTAAAGCATATTTTATATATAATTAGCTCAAGGTTGTTGATTCTACAGGCTCTATGGATTTAAATGTGATTGATAATAAAGTAAACAAGAGAGTCGAATTTAAAGCATGGCTCTCTCGGGTTAGGACGAGCTTAATACAGTGTACAAGGAATTTGAAAGATCTAGGATGTGTGTCTTAATCAGCGTTAAGTAGAATGGATAAGCTTTCCGCGTTTTCAAAACGCTGGGTTAGGGTTTCTCCTCTATTGTGTGCTGCTTTCTGTCTAGGGACTAATAAGCATTACCAGGACGTGATTTGAGGCGACTTTTTATTCTTGTATAAATCCAGAGTGAACCACCAAACAGTTGTTCGTCTACAGCCAAAGTGATTTTCTTTTGACGGGTCCATTTTCTCCTCGATTTCTAATTTATTAGCCTGCCTTCCACCCCACCCCCACCCCACCCCCAGGACCCTATCTCCTTTGCCATTAAAGTAAAGCTTCCTTAGATTAGCGCGGCATTCACCTGACAGACAGTTTGGGGGGGGGGGGGATGGGGGAGGGAGGTAGGGGAGTGGAATTAAGCACGGAAAGGTGATTTGTGGAGGTTTTCATCATTTTGGAGTTCTAGGTAGGGTGTCTTTTTAGACAGAGCTGAGCGGGGCGGGGAGAGGGGAAGAGGGGGGAGTTCTCACTACAAATAGATGTCAGGAGACACAAAAGCAGGAGGCGGGGGGCAAGGTGGCTTGTGGATCCTTCCAACTGTCCACTTTTCTTTCCAAGCTCCATTCCTCCATCCCCAGCACCTATCTTAAAGCCAGATCGCCTGTGGCCGGTGTGGCTGGGCAGGGGCAGAATTCCCAAGAACTTGCCTGTAGAGACCGGGTGGGCGCAGCTAGGAATTAAGCCGGCCCCGCACCGCTGATAGGTGCAGACAGCACAAGGCCTTCCAGGGCGGCTCGGAGCCTCGGGATTGGTGTGGAGTCACGTCACTCCCAGCCGGGGGGAAGGGTCTAGGGAGGAGGAGGAGGAGAAGAAGGAGGAGGAGGAGGAGGAGGCGGAGGCGGGGAGCGCCGGGGAGGGCAGCTGCAGAGTGACGTCTCAGCAGCAGGAAGCCCGCCTCTGGTTTTAAGATGTTAGGCCAACAGGGAAGCGCGGAGCCGCAGATCTGGTCGGACGCTGGCGGGGGTGCTTGGAGCTGAGCAGCGCTGGGGCCCGGCTCCGGCTCGACGGGCCGGCGGAGGGGGGTGGTGTGTGCATGCGCTCTGCCCGGGGGGTGTGCTCGGGGGGTCCCGCGCCGCTGCTGTGGCCCAGGCCTCCGCTGCGGGAGATCTAATATCAGCTACCTGTCCCTGTCACTCTTGACACTTCGCTGTCAGGGCTGCCGCGCCGGGGGCGGGCGGAGCGCGAGCGGCGTTAGCTTTCCTTATTGGAGAGGTATTTGGGGGAGGGAGGGAGGGAACGAGGGGGGTCTTGGCCCATTCTTGTTTCGCTTTGGATCTCCGAAGCCTGCTCCCCAAAGACGCTCGGAGCGGGTGCCCTCCCGCCCACACTCCCCCCCCCTTCCATGTCTCCGATTGCGCGCCGCTGACACTCGGTTGTTGGACTTTTTTTTTCTTCTTCTTCTCCCGCTTTGAGCCTTCCGGAGGAGACAGGGGGCGGCTTGGCTGCAGGACTTGGCGGGGGTGACGTCCCCAGGCTCTAGCCCCGGTCGCCAGCGCAGGGGTAGGGAGGAGGGAAACTCCGCGCCTAGAGCGCAATCCAGGAACGGGCGGCGCGGTACACCCCCTTGGGGGGTCGCGGGGCGCGAGCCCAGGACTCGTAGCGCTGCTCACTCCCTCGTCCATGAACTGCATGAAAGGCCCGCTGCACTCGGAGCACCGTGCGGTCGGGACCAAGCTGCTGGCCGCCTCCTCGTCCGCCTCCTGTCACCATCCCCAGCCACTAGCCATGGCTTCGGTCCTGGCTCCCGGTCAGCCCCGCTCCCTGGACTCCTCCAAGCACAGGCTAGAGGTGCACACCATCTCCGACACCTCCAGCCCAGAGACCACAGGTAAGGCGCCTCGCCGCCCCGCGGACACCTCCCAAACCGCCCGGCACCGCCAGATCCCTGGATCTCAGCGCCCTTCCCATCCCGCCCCGAGGAAATCGCCCCTCTTAGGGAGGAAGGGGGGGGGGAGTGCGGTGGGGGAGTGGTCGTCCCGCTGGATCTCTGCAGAACTTCCGGGAGCCGGGATTCTGAAGACCCGATCTTTACACTCTACCTTCTCTAACCTGGCTCGTGGGGCGCGAATGTCTCGTGCAATACACCCCCACCCACCTCCTAACCTGGCCTCCTTTCTGTGTCCTGGGTCACCAAAGTTCCACCTCTTGATTCAAGGGCGTTGGGAGGCCACCCCACCTCCACTCTTGCTCGCCTCTGAAGGAAGGAACTCCCCTGGTTAGGAAAGGATTTTCTGAAACCACTCCGAAACGCTGCTCTCCGAGAGGTTCCCTTACCCATACTCTCCCTCCTACTTTGCCCCCCTCCCCCCCCCCAAAAAAAAGAGCTGGCGAACTTGAGTGCCTAATCGAATCCCAGCGTCTACTTCTCCGAGCCTTTCCCAAACCGCATGGAAATCGGAGATTTCTCCGGGGGGGGGGGGGTGTGGAATACGTGGGGGGGGGGGGGGAGTCTGTAAAACGCGCGCGCGCGCGCGTCCCCAGAGACTTTGGTATGTCTGCGCACAGAGGCGGAGAAATCCACTTTGAAAGCGCGGGCTATTAAAAAAAAAAAAAAAAGATCGTGCCGCCTCCATGAGATAAACATGTAAATAAAACGCGCGGGCGCTGCGCGGGGGAGGGGAGGAGATGGGGCGCACACACCCACACTTTCATCTGCACACCCCACCGACCCAGGGCTCCCTTGGCCACGTCCGAGCCGCCGGCTGGCGGGCCGCGCACCGCACCGTTCCGCACCGCCTCGGCCGCCCGTCGGGTCCAGGGAAAAGACGCGGGTTGCAGGTGGGCCCTCTGAGCCAAGTCTTTGTGTGTTTCATTTTCAGAGAAAGATAAGAGCCAGCAGGGAAAGAATGAAGACGTGGGCGCCGAAGACCCCTCCAAGAAGAAACGCCAACGGCGACAGCGGACTCATTTTACCAGCCAGCAGCTGCAGGAGCTAGAAGCCACTTTTCAAAGGAACCGCTACCCCGACATGTCCACGCGCGAAGAAATCGCCGTGTGGACCAATCTCACGGAAGCCCGAGTCCGGGTAGGAGCCAGGAACTCAGTTTTGGGGAGAGGGTTGCGGGCATGGTGGAGCTGCAGGCCCGGTAGATGTGCGGGGCAGGGAGCGGGGGAATGGAGGTGGTGGCTCGGGCCCCCTGCAAGGCGCGGGCGAGGAGCCTCTCGGCTCGGGCGCCAGGCTTCCGAGCAGCGAGGGTAACAAGGTAACAGCTCCCCCTTCCGAGGCCGAGCTGCCCCAGCCAGGCACTGGCGCCCGGAGCCGCACCCGCTCTCTGCCCGCCATCCTGCGCCTACCCAAGCTGGGCCGCGTGGGCATTCCTCTCCAAAGGGCATTGTGTTCCCGGCTTACAGTCGCCAGACGAGCACTAATAAAATCCCTCCCGGCCAAAAGCGGCAAACAGGCTCCAACCTGTGCTCCTTTAACAAGGAAAACCCGCCCGAGACAAGCAAGGGTGGGCCCTCACTAAACAGCGTTCCCTCCCCGCCTGGCCCAGCCTCTTCTCTCTGGGCCTCGGTCGCACACCTTACAAGGCCTTTTTTGGGGGGGTGGGGGGGTTGACCGCTCTGATCTCTCTCACACCCTATCCTCCCCTAGTTCTGTAATTTCCGCGAGCAAACTACGATTCTGCTAGCTCTCTTAGAAAGAAAAAAAGGGGGGGGGGGACTTTTCAATTTGGTTTATTTATCTTCTCTCAGGAGTTGAACTCTTTGAAGACTGATTCACCCCTCCGCTTAATTATAATCATAGTTTTTTTTTTTTAAAAAAAGAGAGCTTACCTTAGCTTTGTAGCAAATCTGCACTTTATGGATTGGCAACAAAAAAAAAAAAAGGAGAGAGAGATTAAATAAAATCAACCAATAGCAACATCCTGGTTTAGGCTGGTCGATGGAAATTTCCAAAATTGTTAGGATTTCTGGAAGCAGAAAACAGAACTAAGCAGCATCCAGAGGCCTTTTTGGTTTTGGTTTTGGTTCTTGTATTCTGTATAGAAAAATAAAATTCTTCTGGGTAAAGAATGAAAAATAAAGAGACCCTTAGATAATAATAATAACAACGAAATAAAAACCCAGAGGCGCTCCAACCATAAAGGGAAGGAAATTCTGGGTGGCACTTGTGCGGGGTCTGAGGCTACGCTAGTAGATAAAAGAGCCCGGCTGGAGTTGGAAATGGTTTTACTTTAACCGCTCGGGGCCCGAGCGTTCGGGCAGGGACCTCGTGGTTTTGCGCAAGGTCAGCCTTTCATTCGCTTTAGAGCGTCTGGGAACGGGCCTTGCACGTACTCCTCTCGCCTGGGCAAAGTTTAGAACGCTTAGGGTGGAAATGGCAAGTCATTAAAGTGAAAAGGCCGTTCGTGGTTCCCTGGACTCTTTGGGAAAAGCCTCTCCACTCCACTGGCTTTTTCTGCAGCCCTCCCAGGTCCAGTGCAGCGCGGTGCACGTTTCTCTCTCCCCCTCGTTCTTTGGGTCAGCCAAGTGGGAGGGAGGGAGGCGTGCTTTTTATAGCAGACGGGTGCAGAGGACGGAGGATAAAAAGGAAATTGAGAATGGAAGGGGGGGAAAAAGGAAGAAAAAAAAAGGCGGATTAGGCGGCTGGGCCCGCCGGAGATGTGTAATGTGAAACATCACTGGTGTCTGCTTAGGGACGTGGAGCCAGGCCTTGCTCCAATACACAAAAGCCGCCGTCTGGGGCCACCAGCAGGCCCGATGTGGATTGGGAGAGGGGTTGCGGCGGGGCCACGGGACGCAGATGGGGTCTGGCCTGCCTAGGCAATCACCGGAGAAACCAAATTATCCCACTGGGCCGGGCCAGGCTTTAGGTGGGCAGAGAGAGCTAGGAGGCTCTGAGGGTAGGAAGTGGAGGGAATGGGCTGTAGATGGACCCATGGTGGGTTCTCCAACTTTTACGCGCCCAGCTCGTGGGATTTAACCCGGAGCTTTTTTATTTGGTTGTTTTTTTTCTAAGCGTAGAAGAATGCGGTGTCCAGGCCCGGGTTTCAGGACCGCGTTGGCGGGGGTGGGGTGGTGGTGGGAATGTGTGGAGGACGGCGGCGGAGGTGCTAGGGAGGAGGGAGGAGCTGCGGGGGGGAGCGCAGGCCCTCAGGTGCCCTCCCAGGCCCTGGTCCTCGTCGCTGGGTTTGTGGCTTTGGAATGGAAGCAAGATTGCCAGGTCGGGGAACGGTTGGGCCTAAAGCTGACTGATCCCGGTTTCTTTTAGACGAAGTGTTCTGGGATCCAGGGGAAGGGCCTGGGTTAGCGATCCAGCCCCCCGCAGGCCACTGGGCGTCGGACTAGGGATTGTGACCCAGCCTTGGGCCCAGGATCGCCCGAGCGGAGCGGGCTGCATCACCCAGGACAGGCCTCGGTAGCTTAGCAGTGTGGGCGGCGGAGACTCCTAACCCTGAAGACGCAGACAGACGCGCGTGCGCGGCTGGGGGGCGGGAGGGGGGTGGGCTCCGATGCTTTGATCGATCATGATTTTACTAATCTGTTCTGTGGCCTCTGTTTGTTCCCTTGCCCTCCCCCCACTCCCCCTCCTTTCCGGTCCCCTCATCATCCTCAGGTTTGGTTTAAGAACCGCCGGGCTAAATGGAGAAAGCGAGAGCGCAACCAGCAGGCCGAGCTATGCAAGAATGGCTTTGGGCCACAATTCAACGGGCTCATGCAGCCCTACGACGACATGTACCCCGGCTACTCCTACAACAACTGGGCTGCCAAGGGCCTCACGTCGGCCTCGCTGTCCACCAAGAGCTTCCCCTTCTTCAACTCTATGAACGTCAACCCCCTGTCGTCGCAGAGTATGTTCTCCCCGCCCAATTCCATCTCGTCCATGAGTATGTCGTCCAGCATGGTGCCCTCGGCGGTGACGGGCGTCCCGGGCTCCAGTCTCAATAGCCTGAATAACTTGAACAACCTGAGCAGCCCATCGCTGAATTCCGCCGTGCCGACGCCCGCCTGTCCTTACGCGCCGCCGACTCCGCCGTACGTTTATAGGGACACGTGTAACTCGAGCCTGGCCAGCCTGAGACTGAAAGCCAAGCAGCATTCTAGCTTTGGCTATGCCAGCGTGCAGAACCCGGCGTCCAACCTGAGCGCTTGCCAGTACGCCGTGGACCGGCCGGTGTGAGCCTGAGCCGCGCGCGCGTGCGCGCTGCGCCGGGAGCCTAGGACTGTGCCGAAGGGGCAGCTCCGCCCTTGAAAAGACTTGGGAGAAGGTCGTGCGCACTAAAGAAAGGCAGAGGAAAAGAGGATAGAGGGGGGGGAAAAGGAAACCACTGATTTCAAGAGAGATAGAGAAAGAGAGAGAGAAAGAGAGAGAGAGGGAAAGAGAAGGAAAGAGAGTTCCTTTGATTTCAAAGGAATGGTCTCCGTGTCTGACATCTTTCACTCAAAAGTATTTCTTTCCAACACTTGCAAGGACATGTTACACCAACAAAACGTTTGACTGGATATGACATTTTAACATTACTATAAGCTTGTTATTTTTTAAGTTTAGCCTTGTTAACATTAAAATGACTGAAAGGATGTATATATATGGAAATGTCAAATTAATTTTATAAAAGCAGTTGTTAGTAATATCACAACAGTGTTTTTAAAGGTTAGGCTTTAAAATAAAGCATGTTATACAGAAGCGATTAGGTTTTTTTCGCTTGCGAGCAAGGGAATGTATATACTAAATGCCACACTGTATGTTTCTAACCTATTATTATTATAAAAATGTGTGAATATCAGTTTTAGAATAGTTTCTCTGGTGGATGCAATGATGTTTCTGAAACTGCTATGTACAACCTACCCTGTGTATAACATTTCGTACAATATTATTGTTTTACTTTTCAGCAAATATGAAAAAAATATGTGTTTTATTTCATGGGAGTAAAATATACTGCATACAAATTGGTCTGGATTCTTTCTCCTCCCTCTGCTGTCACCTAGCCAGGGAGTCTTATTTACTGACCCCCTAAACAAAACCAGTCTCCCCTGGCTCTCTGCTAAACTTGTAAGGTATCAGTATTTATTTAAATTTGGTAGAAATAAATGATAACCAGTCATTCATCAGAAACTAAAAAATAAAGTGGGGGGGGGGAACACTCCTACAGTGGAGGAGAAAGACTTCAAAGTCTGGTCTTGCATCTCAGATTTTTTTTTTTTTTTTTTTTTGCTTAAACCCAGAAGATTCCATTAGTGCTAGCAAATAATGAAACAGAGAGAGAGAAGAAGAAGAAGGTTGAAAGAAATGTAGAAGTATACCAATTTGCAATGACTCTGGTTTACTCCATTAGAGGAGAGAGCCACACCTCCAGTAAAGTGTTCTGGAGAAATCTGCGAGTGTCCACATGTCCAGTTTATATACATTCCTTTTTAGGAGGAATACATCTATAATAAATTCACAAGGAAAAATCCTCCAGTTCAAAATATTTAGGCCTCGGCGTTTATCTTTAAGGCTTAAGTAGAGAGATCCTTCATGCTATATTGCATTACTATTTCTAAATCCTTTGGAGACATTAAAAGAAACAAAGACCATTTCTAATAACTACAAGCCTCCAGCTTTTTTTTTCCCGTTTCAAAGAGCCCAGAGGTTGAGAGGTTAGAGTAAAGTTTCCTGAGTCTTGTCCAGCAATATGTAGTTGAGGTAAAGGTCAGGATCCCCGTGTTTTGTTTTAAATAATATTGACCCATTAATTCTAAACCTGCTTGTTCCTGAAATTATACAGGATTATAGTTTGCAAACTGCGGGACAATGAAGCAAATCAAGATGAATTACAGCCCTGGCCCTCCCTCCTACCCTTTGACGTCTAATCAGGAATCAGGTCCCTGTGAGTGTTTTAAAGAACTTGAAGCACACGGTCCACCTTCATCAGCTCTTTTCAGCTTTTTTTTTTTTTAATGTGAAATTTGATTTCATAACGAATAGTAGCAAAATAGGACCGGTTCCCAAAGAGTTCATCACCAGGGTTGAGATGGATTTAGAGTGGAGGAGGGTGAGTGCGAAGTCTTTTGTTATTCTTGTCACCTCCCTCCTCCCCTTTCCCAGTACGCTAGGACAAACACCAAGCCTGAGATCCGAAAGTGAAAAGTAGCCGCAGTCGAGAAAAACCTGTGTTTTTGCACTTAGATGGCTTTTGTCTGAAATTTTAACCTAGCTCAGACACTGAGTCTTTGTTCTGCAAGGAGTTGTTGCTGCTGCTTACGGAGGACGCAGATCAAAATACCCCGACTTAAGACCAGTGCCCAACGCAATTTAACTTTCTTTCTCTTTTAAAGCTTTGCTTCCGACCTGTGACCGGTGGCAGAATCATGTGGCAGTCGGGGTGGGAAGTGCGGGAAGGGGGGGTGCAGATAAAAGCCCTTTGGACGAGGGTTACCTCGGTCCCTGTTATTCGCTCGGGAGCAGTGGAGAGGAAAGCGGTCCCCAAGGGCGGACTTTGGCTCCTGGAGCCCCAGGGGCCCAGCGATCTCCGCCACCCCAGCCTCGAGAGGGGGTGGAGTGGGGGTGGGGTGGGAGGGGAGAAACTGGGATTTGGGGATCCAGACTTGGAAGCGCCGAGGAGACCTGTGGGGACAGATTGGCTTCTCCACCAGGCGCGCAGAGGGTGATATTTGGAAGAGACGATGGACGCACTACGGCCTAGTCTCTTGGATGCCTCATACAGAACTCGACTCCAGCTAATCAACCAATCTGCGGAAGAAGAAGAAGAAGAAGAAAATGACTTACAGGTTTGGAAGTAGTTGTCACGATTTAGAAGTGTGTGTGTGGTGGGGGCGGGGAAGGGGAGACGGGACCGAAGAGGAGGGTGGAAGCCTCCGGCTCCTTTGCTGCTACGATTTCCAGAAGGAAAAGTTGTACCTGATCCTGGCTTCGAGCCCTACTCCTCAGTGGCTCACCAGCCAGGCCACCTCTCTTAGTTCCGGGGAGCCGTCTAGAGGGCCCCCCTCTACCCCCTCCTGCTCCAGCCTTCGCTGCAGCCACCAGCTCGGTTCCACTCAATCGATTTCTGATGCACGTCAACACTTATTACCGGTGAGTGTGAGGGTATTTTTTCTTGCCTCCTTCTCTAGGTCTCTTAATGATTTCTGAGCTAGTTGTGCATTAAAGTGCTTAAAGGAACCTTTAATGTAATCTATAGCATGAAGACCAACCTCTCTCCATCCCCCCCCCCACATCCCTCCGAGTTTTAAAAAAAATGGCGAGTTTGAGGTCTTCCGGAGAGCGTCAGCCCACCACCGCTGCCCACCTTCTCTGGTGCCCAGAGGTTGGGCTGGCCAGGCACAGAAGGCCTGTATGGGCACACCATCAGAGCTGTAGGGGCTTCAGTGACCACCTGTTACTCTCTTGCTCCTTTCCCTACCTTTCTGTCTCTGGCTTATTCTCTAGTTGTTGTTGTATTTTTTTTTTAATTTTATCTTTTAAAAACTTTCTGAGACATTTTTTAAGTCCTCAACTCCCCCCCCCCCCATGGAATGCCCAGTTCGGATGAGGAAAGGTGTACCCTTCACCCACATTTCGCTACGCTTCCACTTCCTAAATCTCTGCTTTTAAATGCCTTACATTTTTTTAAATTTAATTTTAATATATCTTGGGAAACCTGGGGTCTATCTGCAGTTCAGTTGGACCAAAAGTTCTCCCTGGCCACACCACCACCCTTTTCCAACAAGGTGCTGAAAGGAGGGAGGTGTTTGTTTGTTTGTTTCTGTTTTTTGACAGTAACAAAAAAATTAATGGGGAAAACACAGTGTCTTAAAAATCCCAATATTCCTCGATAGCCCTATAAATTAACCCTGCAGAGAGCCGTGAGCCCTTTTAAGGCGAACCTATAAAAATCCTGCCCGACCTCACCAGAGACCAGCCCTCCCCCTAACCTCTGTGACCAGACAAAGGTCTGTCTTGCAATCCACATCCTACTCCACAAATCCCCAACCGCCATCACGAAGGACCATTCCCGAGCCTCTGCCATGGCTCTGGCTGGACAATTCAACTTTTTAAAATTCTTTTTAAAAAGAGGGGTTAGGAAGAGGTGTAATCAGATCACAGGCCTTTATGAATATAGACTCTTGATTGATGGATTGATTTATAAACTCCTGGAGAACAGTAGTTAATGTAAAGCACACAGAGATGAGAGAAATTTCTAATAGCAGATTTTCAGAAGTTTTTTTTTTAAAACCCTTTTCTCTCTCAACCTTCCAAACAATTGCATTTTAACTGAATTTGAGAGATTGCTAATTCAAGATGAGATTTAAAAAAAAAAAAAACTGGGTTAAGTAGAAATACCATGTTAAACAGTAACTGATTTACCTCTTTAGCTTTAGCAGACCAAATCAAGAGAATTTTACTCCAATCCTAAAAGTTTTAGTACCCTTTCTACCTTCCATTTCTTCTGTCTCTATGCCAGTGGAAACCTTCTCCTTATTAACGTTTTATCTGAAAGTGTAGAGAGCAGAATTTATTGTGTATGAGGTGCATAACTTCATTTATATGCTTGGTATTTTGTGCGTGTGGTGTAAATGTCGATTTTAGATTTGTTTTCGGGATTGGGGGAAGTCCTGTGAGAAATAAAACATGCTAATGAAGAGCTACCTTGACTACCTTTAAATAATGTAACTGCCTTTAAACTTTAACTACTTTGAAATTTTATTTTGTAAGAATACACTATGAACAGTTCGGTGGTAGTTATGAAAAAAACAGGAGATACTTAAGTGTAAACTCCTAAGCCAAAAAAAAAAAGTGCTAAAAGAACCATCCTTTTAGTTCCAGAGAAATACGTTTACAACGTTCAGTGCCTATAAGGAAAAGACATTTACGGAAAAGGACATTGTGTCTGTGATATTGATGGATCGTTCCAGGACTACTTCTCTTATTCTAAGAGTCTAGCAACCAAAAAAAAAAAAAAAAAAAGTCTAAGGTGTTACTCCTGATCTATCTTCCTTCCTTCCTTCCTTCCTTCCTTCCTTCCTTCCTTCCTTCCTTCCTTCCTTCTTTCCTTTCTTCCTTCCTTCCTTCCTTCATTTCTTTCTTTCTTTCCTCCTTCCTCTTTTCTTTGTCTACAGCAAAAATTCTGCTTTGCTTCGTCTTATTTTCTCTTTTCCCTCTTCTATCCATTTAGAAAATGGCTCTTATACCAAGATCTAACGTACCAAGATAAAGGCATGGAGTTTCCGCAGAGCTGATGGCTTGCTCTCCCCAGAGTCCTGGGCTTCGCCAGCAGTTTGCCAAAGAAACTCTCACCCGCATACAATCCTGGGCAGGAATCCCCTCCCTAGCGGGGGGGGTGGGAGGGAGGAGGGGATGGGGGGGAGGAGGAGTGACCCTCTGGGAAGAAGAGACCTCAGCCGTCCCCGGTGGTCCCCAAGAGAGCGCGCTGTGTCACCTCCTGGAATGTAACTCGGAACTCACACTCGTTGGAGCCCAGCGTTGGGGCCGGTTCACCAACTCTGCCTGGCTGCTGCTTTCTCGGCGTGGGCATTACCGTGCCATGACTGCACCCAATAAAAACCCCGATGGCATCTTTCTCTGTCCTTCCGGATGGACTGGCACAGCCTTCTCCCGCGTCCCTACGCGCGCGGTGCCCGCCTTTGGTGGCCCGTGTCTCTGGCGGCGTCACCCATGCTGGGCGCTGGCCTGGGGGAGGGGGAGGGGAGAGATCATAGACCCAGGGTGAAGACCCTGCCCACCCACCAGGGCGAGAAAACCGGGCTCTGCCTGCCAGAGCCCGGCTCCAGGCTCCAGAACACACACACACACACACACACACACACACACACACACACACACAATACTACATATAATATATAATACTATATGTAATATATAATACTATATAGTAATACTATATATATATATATATATAGTATTCTATACTATAGTATTCTCTACTTTAGGGACTCCCAGCAGCTCCAGGCCACCCCTACTCCCCCCACCCCACCCCCCACCGCTTGAAGTCTAGGCAGTCGGTCTTATCTGATGAGGCCGCGTTGTTTATCTGTTTCTCTGACAAAGAAGAAGGGGGGGAAAAATCCTCCCGCCCATCCTGGGCTGCAGACCCCAAGCCCCGAACTTCCACTAGCGTGGCTGGGACCGTGGATCGGCACGTTTTGGATGTCTGATCTTGGCCCGAGCCGTGAGGCCTGACGGGTTGATCAACTTTAGAAGCAACCCCAACCACCTGCAACCACCACCGGTGGCCTAAGCCGTGGTTTGGGACCAACTCGATCCTCTCCGACCTCTCTCCCATGACCACAGCCACTGCTACGTCTTTAAAGATCGTTTTGGGGTTAGCTTTCCTGGGGAAAGGGCCTGTGGTAAGCCATCCTCTCTCCCTTTCAGAGGCTTACACAGAACCTGGAACCCACAGAGTCACCCTGGGTTTTGTCCCATTGGGTCCCGAGGTACCCTGGTTTCCAATGCATCGGCACAACCAAATCCAAATTGAACCTGCCTCCCCTCCCCCTCCGCAGCCTATAGCCCCAAGTGGATCATCCAGGTCCCCTGGAGTGGACAGTTCCTCAGAGGGTCTAGCTGGGGACAGGCATCGCCCAGGACCTGGGTGGCTCCCTCCTGGGCGGTCCTGGGCGAGACCTTGGAACCAAGCCTCAGGAGGCGCGCTGGCTGCGGATGCCACAGCTAGTCCACTCACATCCCCCGCCACAGGAGTCTCCCGCACACCACGTCCCTCCTCACCCTCTCGGTGGCCTGAGCTTCTTCATTCTAGGGTGGTCAGTACCCTGAGTGGGTCATCCCTGCCTGCTTCCTACACAAACTGCCTTGGAATCCTGGGATTGAACATTAACTGGCCCAAGCTATAGAGTAAGGTAAAACGTTACATATAAAAATGAATCATCCATTCCATGGCGGTATAGCCCGCTGTGCGGCCACAGCAGCAGCCCTGGCCCTGTGCGGGCCCACTCTCCCAACTGCCACATGCCTGGAGACCACAGGTGGTTGAAGACAGGCAGGGAACTGCAAGGCCACCTTGCAAGTTCTTTGAGCTTTAGCACAAACAGACGTCCTTTCTCTCACTCCCAAAGTTCAGGTCTCCATCTCTTACCAAGGTCAGCAGAGGCCGATGCAATCTGGGAGAAACAGCTACCTTCAGTGCTGGGAAGCTTTAGGTCTCCGTCCCCCTGGTGCTGGAGGAGGCAGGATTCTGAGGGACAGGACTGGACGGGAAGGGAATGACAGCAGAATCCTAGAAATCCAGATCTGGTGAAGACAGGAAGGGTAAAAGGTGGGTGACATGTGGAATTTGGAGCTGGCCTGGGGGCAGAGACCCCACACAAGCTGTTGGTTGGTGGCTTGAGAGAAAAATCCCAGGCTCTGGCTGAACATCCCACCCTCCTCTCCCAACACACCCAGTCTTGAGCTCTGCCTTTTCTGACTCTGACTGATTTGTTTCTTTCAACATAAATAATCTCAAGTAACAATGTTACTTCTCCATTGATTTATGTACTAGGGCCACGTGTCTAGACAAATATACAGAATTTATGAAAAGATAACAAACCCCAGGTATTATACAAGACTGTGCACCTCCTGGCTTCTCATACCTTCACTTGGAAACATTAACAACTCAGGGGCAGAGCAAATTCCTGACGACGAAGGTGATTCCTTTTCTCTCTCTGCCCTTCTGCTTAATCCTCCATTCCCTTCCCCCCATTCACAGAAACAGATAAAGTGAGTACAAGCAAGAGAAAGCTAGGATGCGACATGGAGCTCTCCAGGGTTGCTAATAAATGATAGAGATTTTTATACTGTGTGTGTGTGTGTGTGTGTGTGTGTGTGTATTGGTACTCAGGCTTGAACTCAGGTACTTTGACTTGGCTTTTTTTTTTTTAACCACTTGAGCCACATCTCCACTTTTGGCTTATTTTGGGGAGGGGGGTGTTAATTGGATAAGACTTTCCTACCTGGGCTGGCTTTAAACTGGGATCCTAAGATCTCAGCCTCTAAGTAGCTGAGATTACAGGTATCTGTCAATGCCTTGGCAAGTTGTTATATTTCCTAAAACAACTGGTTTGTTGCTTATG